TCTGCTAATGGGTGGTGTTGTCTTCCGTCTTCCTAGTTGTTTGGCATAGGGTGTCCAGCACTGTAGCTTGCTGGTCATTGAGTGGAGCTGGGTTTTAGCGTTGAGATGGAGATCCCTGGGAGAGGTTTTGCTATCTGATACTACATGGAGCTTGGAGGTCTATGGTGGACCAATGTCCTGAAGTCAGCTTTCCCACTTCACAGGCTCAGGTCTGACCTCTGGCTGGAGCACCAAGACCCTGCCAGCCACACGGCTGAAAGAAAAGGGAGAAAAAAGGAAAGAAAGAAAAAATAAAATAAAATAAAGTTATTAAAATAAAATTTTTTTAAATTATTAAAAATAAAAAACGTTAAAAAGTAATAAAGAAAAGAAAGAAGAGAGCAACCAAACCAAAATACAAATCCACCAATGATAGCAAGCGCTAAAAACTATACTAATAAGACAAACAAACAAAAAGAACACAACAAAGAAAACGGACAGACAGAACCCTAGGATAAATGGTAAAAACAAAGGTATACAGGCAGAAATCACACAAAGAAATATACACATGCACACTCCAAAAAGGGAAAAAGGAAAAAAAAAATATATATATATTAAAAAAAAAGGAAGAGAGCAACCAAATCAATAAACAAGTCTACCAATAGTAATAAACTCTAAATACTAAACTAATGTAAAGATAAAACCAGAAAAAAATTAGATGCAGAAAGCAAACCCCAAGTCTACAGTTGCTCCCAACGTCCACCACCTCAATTTTGGGATGATTTGTTGTCTACTTCGGTATTCCACAGATGCAGGGTACATCAAGTTGATTGTGGAGATTTCATCTGCTGCTCCTGAGGCTGCTGGGAGAGATTTCCCTTTCTCTTCTTTGGTTGCACAGCTCCTGGGGTTCAGCTTTGGATTTGGCCCCGCCTATGCATGTAGGTCACCTGAGGGCATCTATTCTTCCGCTCAGACAGGATGGGGTTAAAGTAGCAGCTGATTAGGGGGCTCTGGCTCACTCATACCAGGGGCAGGGAGGGTATGGAATGCGGGGCGAGCCTGCAGTGGCACAGGCTGGTGTGACGTTGCAACAGCCTGAGGTGCACCATGTGTTCTCCCGGGGAAGTTGCCTCTGGATCATGGGACCCTGGCAGTGGCGGGCTGCACAGGCTCCCAGGATGGGAGGTGTGGATAGCGACCTGTGCTTGCACACAGGCTTCTTAGTGGCTGCAGAAGCAGCCTTAGCGTTTCATGCCCGTCTCTGGTGTCCGCACTGATAGGCACGGCTTGCGCCCGTCTCTGGACCTCATCTAGGCGGTGCTCTGAATCCCCTCTCCTCGTGCACACCGAAACAGTGGTCCCTTGCCTCTTAGGCAGTTCCAGACTTTTCCCCAGACTCCCTCCCGGCTAGCCGTGGCGCACTAGCCCCCTTCAGGCTGTGTTCACGCAGCCAACCCCAGTCCTCTCCCTGGGATCTGACCTCCGAAATCTGAGCCTCAGCTCCCATCCCCTACCTGCCCTGGTGGGTGAGCAGACAAGCCTCTCAGGCTGGTGAGTGCTGGTCAGCACTGATCCTCTCTGCGGGAATCTGTCCACTTTGCCCTCTGTACCCTTGTTGCTGAGCTCTCCTCCGTGGCTCCGAAACATCTCCCCCGCCCACCCCATCTCTACCAGTGAAGGGGCTTCCTAGTGTGTGGAAACTTTTCCTCCTTCACTGCTCCCTCCCAGAGGTGCAGGTTCCAACCGTATTCTTTTGTCTCGTTTTTTCTTTTTTCTTTTGCCCTACTCACATACGTGTGGAGTTTCTTGCCTTTTGGGAAGTCTGAGGTCTTCTGCCAGCATTCAGTAGGTGTTTTGTAGGAGCAGTTACACATGTAGATGTATTTCTGATGTATTTGTGGGGAGGAAGACGATCTCCACGTCTTAGTCCTCCGCCATCTTGAGGGTCTCCCCGTTCTTATTTTGTAATGTATGCATTTAGTGCTATAAGTTTTTGTCTCAGTCCTGAGAAGCATTATAAGTAGGATTTTTATTTTCATTCAGTTCACTATGATTTTCCTTGAGAATTCCTATTCCATGGATTATTTAGAAGTACGCTATTTAGTTTCAAGTGTTTAGAGATTTTCCTGTTATCCTGTTACTGACTTCTAGTTTGATCCCATTGTGGTAGGAGAACACACTCTTATGATTTTATTCCTTTTACATGTATTGAGGTTTGTTTTATGGCCCAGAACATGGTGTATCTTAGTATACATTTCATGGCACTTGAAAAGTATATATTCTGCTATTGTTGGATTGGGTGTTCTGTCAATGTCTGATTCTGTTTTGATTGATGGTATTGTTGAGTTCTTCTAGTTCTTTGCTAAGTTTTTTTTTTAATTTATTTTACTTTTGGCTGTGTTGGGTCTTCGTTGCTGCATGCAGGCTTTCTCTAGTTGCAGCGAGCAGGGGCTCGTTGTGGTGCATGGGCTTCTCATTGCAGTGGCTTCTCTTGTTGTGGAGCATGGGCTCTAGGTGTGCATGCTTCAGTAGTTGTGGCACGTGGGCTTAGTTGCTGCACGGCATGTGGGATCTTCCCAGACCTGGGCTTGAACCCGTGTCCCCTGCATTGGCAGGTGGATTCCTAACCACTGCACCACCAGGGAAGCCCCTTTGCTAATTTTTTGCGTAGCTCTCTATCAGCTGTTGTGAGAAGGGTGTTGAAGTCTCCAACTGTAATTGTGAATTTGTCCATTTCTCCTTTCAGTTCTATGAGTTCTTGTTTCACATGTTCTGCAGTTCTGCTGTTTGCATATATTTAGTATGCAAATATATTTATATTTGCAGTACATTTAGTCTGAAATCAAGGTGTTAGCAGGTCCATGTTCTTCCTGAAGGCTCTAGGGGAAGAAGCTTTCTTGCCTCTTCTAGCTTCTGGTGGCTCTTGGCAATACTTGGTGCTCCTAGACTTGAAGCTGTAGCACTGTAGTCTCTGTCTCTGTTTTCACGCAGCTTTATTTTCTCTGAGTGTCCTCTCCTCTCCTTATATGGACACCAGACATTTGATTTATCTCCCTGATCCCATGTGACCTTACCTTAAACAGATTGTATTTGCAAACATCCCATTTCCAAATAAGATTACATTCTGAGATTCTGGGTGGACCTGAGTTTTTGAGGGGATACTATTCAACTCACTAAACTGACCAAGTTGTTTTCCTCATAAGTTATAGCTGCAGTTGCATAGTCAGAAACCTTCAAAGTCTCTTGAGCCTCCAGACTCCTTGAGCCACTTTGACTTTCAGAGCCTCATGCTGAAATTTTTGAGATTCTTGCCTAATTCTGAGATTTTTGCCTTTTTAAAATACAGACTACAGAGCCTTACCCTTATTGTTGACCTTAAACTCTTAAGATAACATGATGACTTTCTGTCAGGTTTCCATTATTCTCATTTTTTTCCTTTTAAGTCAGAGCAGCAGTTTTCCTCGTTACTTCCTCTACTAATATTGAGTTAAAGTATAGCAAGAAGTTGACACATGCTGTGCTCTTCCTCAAATGAGATTTTTAGTAGATCTGAGTAGAGACTAACTTTTTTTTTTTGAATTCCATGAGAAACATCTTGAATTTTGAATTTTACTCTGTGGATTTAGGGGCACTAGAGATTTTTGGACAGGGAGGTAAAGTGGTTAATCTGCAGGACGGGGAGTAGTTGATGGGTACTGGACGCATGGAGACGACGGGGAGTCTGTTGGGGTGGCACATGAATCATCTGGAGAGCTTGTTAAAATGCAGATGTGTTAGCTTTGGGGTCTGAGAGTCTGCGTTTATGAAAAGCTGTTGCTGCTGGTCTAGTGACCACACTTTAAGTAGCTAAGATTCATGATGTGTTAGAGAAATTCCGGTGTTTTAATCTCACCAACTGTAGGCCACAGTTGAGTCCAGATTTCAAGTGGACAAACCCAGCAGACCGTTGGCACCACTTCCGGGTGTCTCAGCCAACATTTTAAATCCTGAATCTTGGGTGAATATACCCATAACAATAAATTCAGCCCTACCCAAGCACATATTTTGTCCTCCTTTGTCTAATAACCCTATAATCTCTTCCCATTCATGCACTCTGGAATTCTGCTGATACAAATTGGAAAGATCCTACAGCTCTGGTGTATATGCTGCTCTCCCATAGCCAACCTTGTACTTAGACTCCTAGGCTAAGCTGGGATCTTATTCCTCTTAGTGGCCTGAAGGTAGTAAATAGTGGAGGTGGTGCTGAGGAGAATGGGCATCTCAGTTTTTTTTTTTTTTTTTTTTTTTGGCGGTACGCGGGCCTCTCACTGTTGTGGCCTCTCCCGTTGCGGAGCACAGGCTCCGGATGCTCAGGCTCAGCGGCCATGGCTCACGGACCCAGCCGCTCCGCGGCATGTGGGATCTTCCCGGACCGGGGCATGAACCCGTGTCCCCTGCATCGGCAGGCAGACTCTCAACCACTGCGCCACAAGGGAAACCCGGCATCTCAGTTTTTATGCTAGAGAAGGCTGCTTGGAAGGAGGGAGAGGGAAAACTGCTTTTTTCAGCAGAAAGGTTTTGGGGTTTTGGGATTCAAAGTTAGGCTTCCTCTTAGTTTACACATCCCCATCCCAAGACACAGAGTCCCACTTCTCAACCTTCGCCCTTATCTTCGATCTGGCAGGGTTGTACTTTTAAATGGTGTTGCAGATCTGCAAACCATACACATAGGCATAGGGCTAGATCCTCAGCCAGATCTCTCATGGAGCATTAAGGTTGCTAAATGAAGACATGTTCAAAGAACTAGATGCCTTGAAGTTATATACTGTTTATGTAAACACTATAGAGTTTTTTCCTTAGTTAATTTTTAAAATGAGAATGAGTAAAGAAAGTTGAAATATTTCTTTGAATGTATGAATTGCCATTTGTTAGTCAGTGAATGTTTAGAAGGGCCTTTAATGTCCGAGATGCTGTGTCATATTGACAGTAGATTCATATGTTGTTGATCATTAACTTTTTTTTTTTTTTTTTTTTTACAGAAACTTATTGGAGAAGTGTTTAATATTGTGAGCCAACAGTCTACTGCTCGACCTGGGTGCATTATTGAGCTCAATGCAATAACCAACCAAGTAAAACCATGCTTGTGAATTGGTGTTACTAACATACTTTATCCCAGAGTGCTTAATATGCATAAGATACACAGTTGAACCTTCAACAACTTGGGGGTTAGGAGCACTGACCCTTCTCACTATAGAAAATCCACATATAACTTACGGTCAGCTTTCTGGATCCTCGGTTCTGCATCTGCATATACAGTTAACTGCAGATTGAGTAGTACTGTAATAATTACTATTGAAAAAATTTCCCACGTAAGGGGACCTGTGCCGTTCAAGAGTCAACTATATTTCATTGCAGAATAGTTCTCTTGTTTGATACTAAATATAGCCAACTTCTCTTGATTTCCTTAGTGAAAATCTCCAATGATTTACGAATTCTTTTTCTCCAGTTGAATTGTATCTGTAGCCTTATTTCCTGTTTAAAGGTCATTTGATTCAGTCAGGGAAGCCATGAAGGAAAATACAGTACAGCTGCATAGAGGCATGGTTTGTGGTTTTTCTTTTTCTATTGTTACTCATTTCAACTCAGTAGATGGTGACATCAGCTTTAAGAGTGTTTGCTTTGTTAGGCTGAGTATTAGATATTTTTATGAGATCCATTAAAATGAAGATAGAAGTAGGATCAAAGTATGCATTTACTTTCTAAGTACAGGTCTTTCGTGTAGGCAGTGTTCTTTCCTAGCCCCTACCTAGAAAAGAAGGAGAACCCTTCCCTCTACAGGGAGTTTGTAAATCCCATCATAGCCCTCATATTTGTTTCTTCAGGATCATGTTTATGGACTGAAGGGGATAGAAGTAATATATTCATTCCAAATATGAAAAAAGGTTACTTTGATGAGGAAGTTACCAACTATTTTCAAACAAGGAAATGAAGAAAGAGCCAACCATATTTAAAAATAAACACAGTGTTATGTCATTATTTTTCCATGATGCCTTGCACATTCTGTTAGGGAAAATGTCATAATTTCCACCAATGTAGAGAAATGACCACATCAGCTCATGGCAACAGAAATGTGGCTGCCAGACTCAAATTACTAACGCCTCCTAGGAAACCCTTAACTTGTGATTTCCTTTTTTTCACTCTATAGGGATATGGGAGAAGAGTGTATTAGCTTCAACCCATAAATGTCTTAATTTTTAATGAACTGCGAGTTAAATTCATTTCCCCAGTGTAGCCCCTTCTCTACTCTGTACCATGGGATATTATTACAGACCTCTTTCACCTAGCATTTTGCTTTTTACTTCATACTTTTTGAAGATTTTTCCCTTTCCATTTGTGGCTATCTTTATCACAGGGCTGGTAAACTGCAAGCACTGATAAATGGCTTAGGCTTATAAATCATTCTGTGTTTCCCGTGTGCTGTATGATTTCTGTATCCATGAAAGCGTCACCCTTCCCTTTTCTTGCATTTATTCTTCTTCCCTGGGGAAGGTGACCTTTTATGCTATGAATGTGAAGGGATTTTTTTATGTTTCTTTATGGAGAGACATAAAAGTACCTTATAACTTTCATAAAAATTTTGTGGGTCAACCTAATGTCATAGTCATTTTATTTCCTTCTATCAGTACTATGAAAGGAGGCTGATTTGCTTTAGTCTCTAAGATTATAGCCCATACATTCAGTGCCAAGGTTATCATAGCTGCTTGCCTTCCTTGAAATCTGTGGGGCAGCCATCAAATTGTCTTGACCTACTTCCGTAATAAGCTTTTGTTTGGATTTAGCCTTTCCTTGAATTTCAGTTCACTTTTGTGATTCTAAGTAGCTATTTGTGATTATCTTTACTCTTCTTGTCTGTGTGGTCCCAAACATGATTTTGTAGCATCAGCTGACTGTGATGTTTCATCTATTCTTTTAGAAATCTTAGTTACTTAAATGTAAATACATTTCTTCAGAGATGTGTCATTCCTACTGGCTGTTATAGGATCCTTCATAATTCCCACTAGACAGACTTATTGGAAATACTTTGAGGACCTTTCTGGGTTTTTTTTTGGTTTTCAAGTAGAATTAGAAAAAGAGCCTATGGTAGTGTGCTTAATATGGTCTGCATGGCCTTCTCCAGCCAGTCATGAGACCTGATATTTTTGAACTCAGAGTGGCCTAGGTTACTTAACTGTTTTTTTTTTTTTTTTGAGATGCAGACCTGTTGATTTGTTTTTACTAGAGTTTCACAGTTCTGCTGTTGACTATAGCATCTTTGAAAGTAATTTATCTAATGATTTTTTTCTCTTGCTTTTTCCACTCTAATTAGTCATTCTATAAAGAATAGAAATTGTTAGAGAGTTTTTTTCTTCTGTTTTATATTAGGGTTCTTGGGGAGGTAGTGGGTGGAAGATACAGAATTTCAAAGATAAAACTTTACTTGTTTCATATTTGTAGTGTGGCTCAAATACACAGTTGCTTCATGTGTTTCAAGAAGACTTCATTAGAGGATATAAACCACATAAAGAAGATATGGAGAAAAAGGAAACAGAAATATTTTTTCAGCCATCACAAGGTACTGTTAAAAAATAGTCTTGAGGGGCTTCCCTGGTGGCGCAGTGGTTGAGAGTCCGCCTGCCGATGCAGGGGACACGGGTTCGTGCCCCGGTCCGGGAAGATCCCACATGCCGCAGAGCGGCTGGGCCCGTGAGCCATGGCCGCTGAGCCTGTGCTCCGCAACGGAAGAGGCCACAACAGTGAGAGGCCCGCATACCGCAAAAAAAGAAAAAAAACAACAACACAGTTTGTAAAAAATAGTCTTGAGTTCAATACCTTAATCTTAGAAAACCTTCAAACTTTCATTGAGTGTGGATCTTTATATCTAAAGTCATCACTCGTGATTTTTGGCAAATACTCTAGTTCTATCAGAATTGCTTTTTTGTAGGTGAAGAACACATGAGGGTAAAAATTATATTTTGAAAGACAGGTTCTCTGGTGACATAGCCTTTTGCCAAGAAATGTTATTTATGAAACCTAGTTTAATTGTTTAAAAACTTAACTTCGGTTGTTCAACTCTACAATTAAATTGTTTTGGTTGGTAGTAAGTATCCTTCTGGTATCTTAAGGAAGCCAATTAATATAAGTTTACTAAAGATTACTGATAAATATAGGAGGGAGATATTATGTTGTATGGTATACCAGGAAGCTTAGGTACGCTTAGGTTTTATGTTGTATGGTATACCAGGAATTAAAGGTACCATCTCATAGTTTTCCTCTCTGAAGGGTTGTATTTATTTCTTCTTCTTGTGAAAGAAAGTAGTTCTCCTAAGACCTTTCAAGAACAAACCGTATGATATTTAAACTTTATTATTTAGCTTTAAATATTCCTTTTAGAAGTTATACTTTGTAATTATAAAACTTTCATGTTCTATTTGAAAATTAAATTTGAAAATAGAGCATACTGAGTAGAATACTTTCTGTATGAAGGTAGGAAAGACATGTCCTACTTTAAGAATTCATTTTCTGTGATTAATAGTTTTTAGTTTACAAAGGGTTTCCAGGTATTTTATCTCATTTGGTTATAGATTGTAAGTATCCAGAAGGACATATTTAATTTTCTTAGTATAGCTTTTATCACAGAATTATGTATAGTCATTTAAGGAAGGTATTTCTACTGAATTTGTACAGTTAATTTTGTTTTCTTTAGTGGAAAATCAGAATGAGTTCTGTCTTCTGTGAGGCTTAGCTCAAACATCTTTTCACCCCTCAGACTAATAATTTTTTCCCTTTCCTGCATCTTTCTTCATAGATCAGAACTTTTCTTCTTTCTAAGTTATTCAGTTGTCACGTTCAGTTTTATTTCACTGTCACTATAGCATAACAGTACTGTATAGATTTAAAATGTGCTTTTCCATAGTATTTCACCTTTACTTGGGTTAAACTTTTTTATACGCTTTCCTGCAAATCTAACTATCAATTATCATGCTACTTCTAACAGGGAATACATGCCAACCTACTAGAAAACAATGCTTATATAAGGTTGGTATTTTTTAAATAATGTTTTTAATTGGAAGACCTGCATTTAAAAATATTATTTTATTTCCCTCTTTTGAGATATATATATTTATATTTTTTGGCTTGTGGGATCTTAGTTCCCCAATCAGGGATCGAACCTGGACCCATGGCAGTGAAAGCACCAAGTCCTAACCGCTGGACCGCCAGGGAATTCCCTTGATATTTCTTTTTCTTTTTTTTTCTTTTCTTTTTGTTGCGATATAGTTGCTTTACCATGTTGTGTTAGTTTCTGCTGTACAGCGAAGTGAATCAGCTATATGTATACATATATCCCCTCTTTTTTGGATTTCCTTCCCATTTAGGTCACCACAGAGCACTGAGTAGAGTTCCTTATGCTATATAGCAGGTTCTCATTAGTTATCTATTTTATACATATTAGTGTATATATGTCAATCCCAGATATTTCTTTATGTCACTGTGAAATCAGGCTGAAAGATTTCCTGATGCTTTTCTTGGTTTTCCTTTAGTTTTTGTACAAAGTTTCTCTTGATTTTATAGCTGTTTTCTTAAGGGACTTGAAATGTGTATTTCTCCTCTTCCCTGACCCTGCTGTATTTTGTACTTTCTAAGTTTTAGTTAAAAATTAATTACTCTTTTAATTAAGAAAAGTGCCAGTTACAGACAAAAGTAGCGTGCATAGTTAAATGAACCTTCCTATGCCCATAACTTAGATTGATGACTTTAAGGTTTTGTCACCTGCTTTACCTACCCTATTTTCTTTTCTTTTCCTTTTTTCCTGAAATATTTTAAAGCAAACTCAGCCATCATGTTGTTTCGCTCCTGTGTACTTTATGCATTTCTAAAAATGACTTTCTTACATGTGTGCTGTTATCACATTGATAAAATAACAAAATTTCTCAGAATTCTGTAATAACTAGTCCATAGATTTACTTCATTTAATTGTCTCAAAAAAATGTCAGGGTTATTTGTTCTTAATTTGTTTGGATCCATGTCCATATAGAGTCCACACATTGTGTTTCATTTTTTAAGAGTCTTTTAAGCTAAAGTAATCCCCCTTTATACTCTTACCATGCCACAGACTTGTGTTAGAGAAAGTTATTTTATAGGAATTTCTCTGACCAGTTACTTGTGACGTCATTTAAAATTTTTCCTGTAAAGTGCAAATTACCTCTGTAGACTTGATTTGACCCAGATTCAACTTCCTAGGTGTTGCTTTGTTCATCATAGAAGGTCATAAGAAAGAACGTAATGTTAGGATGTCTCATTTTTAGTGATGCTAAGATTCAGAAAATTCACCTGGTGGCACCAGTGTAAAATTTGCCAGCAATCTATTATCTTGTGGTGTCTTCCATTGATACTGTTGCTTTCCAATCAATTATTTCATTAAGGATTGCACAAGTGTGATTTTCTAGTTTTATCAGTTCTCATTTATTTATTAGCTGGAAAGCATTTGTAAGGAAAAGCTTTCCCTTATCCATGGCAGCTTTTTGGCTATTTTGAAATAGAGTTATTTTTAGGAAAGTGCTTAGTTCTTTCCCTTTAATTGATGATTTCAAAGGAGTTTGTGCCCAGGTTGCTGCTAGTGGTTACGGATGAATTTATTGTTGTTGTTGTCTTTCTTTTTATTTTGTGAATCATTATGAACCCATTTTAGAAAAACTGCTGAAGAATAATACACATACAAAGATATACTCCTATCACTCATGAATTTTTATGTACTTAGCATATTTCAGTCAGTTTGCAGTCATAATTCTAATTCTCACATTGTCCTGTAGTAGGCTAGTGAAGACCCTTTCAAGTTGGTCCTGAGTTCTTTTGACACAACCTCATTATTTTTGATAGTTTCCTTTCTTTCAGGCACAGCAAGATAGGCCAGGCTTATCTTGTAGATAGCCTTTGCAAGAATGGAGTCATCCCTCCAGACTGTTCCTTCCAATGGAGCATGGTATTTAGAGGCCACAGTTTGAGTTTTAGCAATGCTCATTGCCAATGAGTTGCCATTATGGGTTTTCTTCTCTTTTTTCTCCTCCGTCCCTTCCTTCCTTCCTTTTTTATCGAATGAAAGAGTCTTTAAATTCTATACTGGTTCACAATTTTCAAAAGTTTCACACCCATAATTTCATATAATGTATAGGTTTTCATTTTTAAAGGAAGTTTTTGTTGTCCTTTGTAGATCTCATTTTCATATATGAAAAATGCAGTTGTCAGTAGGGAACATTATGTTCACAAATAATGTCTTTTCATAAAAAATGCATAAAATTTCTAAGAAGTCTCTCCTGCACCACCATCATTGGCCCTCCACCCATAACTATTAATTTTTTTAAAAAATGCTATTTTACATATAGAGAAAGCAGGATACATGTTTACTTCATTCTTTCCATTTACTTGCCAATTTTCCAGTTAAGGAGTTAGTGCCCCAGTTACTTCAGGGGGCATCCAGTGAGGCTGACTTGCTCCTGTTCTTTTTCTCCCTCTCTTGCTCTTGCATTCTCTCTCTGTGTCTTTCTCTTCTTTTCTCTCTTCCTTTCCGTTCTTCCTTCTGGTCCTCTTGTCCTTCCTTTCCTTTTTTTCTTATGTGCCCTCTCTCTTTTGGTATTCTTATGAACTCAATGTGTTTTAATAAATTGTATTCATTTTTATTCTTTGATGCTCAAATTGTCCCATCTTTGACCAATAGGTATCCCTTCATGTTCGCTTTTGTACTTTTGATGTAGCCGTGTTAGTCTTTGATAGCCACCTAACTTTTAGCACAAAAGTTATATAAAACTGCTTCTATACACCTATTCTTCCCTTTCCTCCCAACTTCTATACATATCAAGAGATTTTGTTTAAAATGTCTTTCTCTTAACCCTATAGAAACACGTTAACTTAAATATTCTTTTCCTTTAACAATAGGATATCGACCACCACCATTTTCAGAAAAGTTCTTTCTAGTAGTAATTGAAAAGGACAGCAATAATTGCTCTGTTCTCCACATGTGGCACCTTCATCTTAAATCTGTACAGGCATGTTTAGGTAAGTAATTATATTACAGTTTTATGTAGATATGATATGAAATAAATTCATTTTATTGGATATGCTTTAGGTTGGTTAATTCTTTAAAATGAAGATCCAGTGAACTGTAAATTGAGTTGCTGAACTGAAGTATGTATAGGCCAAACTTTTAATTACAAGGCCATAAATCATTAATGAAACAGGTTAATCTAAAAGCAAACCAGTCAACGGGCACATTAGACATATTGAAAAAAAAAGTTTGATTATTTTTTAATTAATATTTATTAAATGCCTATTATGACTCTGTTCTAGATACCATGTCCTATAAATCAGTTTTGCCCATAGAATTAATACTGTATTTTTTTGTTGGTTAATACACACTGCCATCTGATACCATGCACATTAGCTTTAGCATCACTAAAAGAAGGAGATTTGCTAGTTAGAAAATGTGATTGAGCATCTGATGTTCAAAAGGGGAACTGGTTTTGTAGAATATTAGGAAATGCAGCAGTGATTAAAAAAAATTATTTCAGCCGTGCTTTTGCTATACATATTCATATTGATGTCTTAGCAAATTAGAAGATCTGTAATATGAAGTACAGAAATTGATTATAAATCTTTCTTTTTAAAACAAACTTACTTTTTGAGAGATACTTGTTTAAATGAAGAATTGCATAGTTAGCCATATCAAACTGAATCTGCTTTAAACTGATTAACCCAAAATATTTGAGTTTTGAAAATATTTTATTATTTCTGATGGTTACATAATTTTAATGATTTTATACACACTAAACATTTAATACAGAGAAATAATAATGTATATGTGTTTTGTTCTCTTCCTAATCCACATTATCACATAACTGTGTAAATAGCAGTTCTAACTGGGCCATGAACTGGGACTGGAAAAGCCAAATGATTCAATAGAACCTTTACCTGTGCCTAGTTGAGCCTAATCATCTTGTGGTAGGAGGAATCCAAAAAAATTTTCAAAGCCTTTGGCGTTAATTCTTGGCGTTACATGTTGTTCCACAGGAATGCAAGAGTAGAGTGATCTATTGATAAAAGCTTGTCAGGAAGAGAATTTTATTTTTATTTTTTTAAATTGAGGTAACATTGGTTTATAAAATTATATAAGTTTCATGTGTATAGCATTCTAATTTGACTTCTGTATACATTACAGTGTGCTCACCACCAAAAGTATAGTTTCCATCTGTCACCATAGAGTTGACTCCCTTTACCCATTCTGCCCTTCCCCAACCCCTTTCCCCTCTGGTAACCACCAATCTGTTCTCTGTATCTATGTGTTAGTCTTTGTTTTGTTTTGTTTGTTCACTTACTACTTTAAAAAACTATTCCACATATGAGTGAAACCATGCAGTATTTGTCTTTCTCCGTCTGACTTATTTCATTTAGCATAATACCCTCCGGGAAGAGAATTCTTAACCCACCAGAGAATATAGTATTTTCTAGAGTTGAGCACAGAGCCAGGAATGGTTCTGAAGAGATTAATAGAGGTAGCAACAGATCCTTGTGGTAGGATAGGAATCATGTGATGCCTTCTGTCCCCCTGCTTATGAAGGAAGTATCCCACTGCTCTTCCCCTCAGGTCTGGGCTAGTATAGAGTTGCCTTGCTTACTCTGTTTGTGACAGCAGTAAAAGGTCACAAACAGTAAGATTACAGTAGAAGCAAACAAATCATATGCTATCTTTAGCTTTGACATAAAGCATCTATCTTGTGGTTCTAAAATGTGCAGCAGATTTAACATGGTGTACATTGCCATTAAAGCTGATACGTGAATTTAGCAGTGTGTTGAAAATCCTGGCAAAGGGTGAAGCGATAGACTAGACTTACATTTAGGTGGGGAAGGAACATTTGGAGTACCTTCTAGGTACCAGGCACTGAGATAGGTACTTTATATATGTGAGATAGATGTTACCTTCAGTTTACTAATGGAATAATATTAAGTAACTTGACCAAATGACACATCTAGTTTGTCACAGACTAAGTTTCAAAATTAGGTCTTCTGGCTTTAAAGCCTTTCTTTTGCTTTTTCCCCCTGCTCTTATTTTCTTTCTTTGCATGAGATATATGCATTAGAAAATTGCCTGGTTTACAGAAAGAGAAATGACTCAGTTCAGCCTTATTTTGCAGGTGAGAAAATAGCTAGAGATGATGAAGTACCTTGCTTAAGGCAACATATCTAGTTAGTTTTAGAGTAGGAGTAGTATTTCTGTCTTCTGACTACTGATTCAAGTTTGTCGTCTTATTCTATTTTACAAAAAATGTTCTCACGTTTCTTATTTAGTGGTCTGCCATTATAAAAGAGATTGGCATATTTAAAATCCACCAGAAGCAAAAGGGGATTGATTATTATCTCTCCGTATTCTGGTGCTACTCGGGATGTATAAAGCTAATAAGACCTCATCCTTGCCCTTGATGAATTCATAGTCTAATGGCGGGGAGGGAGATGGACATACAAATAAATAAATGTGATGCAAGTATCTCTTACATGTAGCAGAAGCACAGATAACTAAATCTGCTTAGAGATTTACACTCCACCTGAAGGTGAAAGCTGGAAGCTTTTTGGACAAAGATCAAGGTCAATATGCTTACAAAGCCATTCAACTAATACTATCTTAAATTTGTTTGGAACTTTTATATGTTCTTGGAACTTTTATATGTTCTTGTTTATTATCTTGTTTCAGCACTTGATAGTTAGTAGGCTGGTATTTTAATGTCTTCTTTACCGCTAGCTAATTTTATGACCTAAGGAAAATCAGTAAGCTTTCCAAGTTTAAATTTCTTCATCTATTAAGTGAGGCTGTACCTTGTTATTTCTCAAAGTTTGATTTATGACCCATCTGTTTCAGAAACACCTGGGCTGCTTATTAATGCAGATTTATGGGATCTACCCCAAAACAACTGAGTCAGTGTTTCTGTGGTTAGGCCTGAGAACCTTCATGTTAAAAGTTCCTCAAGCTTTTGATGTGTTTTAAAGGTTGAGAACACTGGGCTAGAGAACTTGTTTTTTTCCTAGATCTTACATGTTGTGATTCTTCACTGACAGTATCCCTGTGATGCAATTGTTGATGCTAAGAAAGAGTAAAATAGTTTTAAAAAAAAAATTCTATCAAGGTAACTGAGCAAAAGTTTGAAAATTGATCTTGTCTCCAGAGCACTTTTAAGAAATCATGTTTCTTAAATCATCACAAAATATTATCTAGCTCATGTAGATAGTGATGATACTAATATATTTCTTAATTTCTTAATTTATTTTCAAAGCTAAAGCTGCAGAAGGTGTTTCATCAGAGAGTCTACTTTCAGTCCCTGGACAGAAGAACATAGACTCTTCTCCAGAAACCTCTCCTAGTGTGAGCCCCATACCACATTCTTCATCAATCGCCAACCTTCAAACTGCTAGTAAACTGATTCTGAGTTCTAGACGGGTATATAGCCGACCTCTTGATCTCCCGGTAGGAGTTGAAGTAATAAGAGCAACGCCTTCAGCAGGTAACGTAACTTTAAGACCGGACAGTTGTAGCTCAGAGCAATCTTCAGTGCATAAAATGGGTGAACTCTTCTGAAATATGTGCAGAGTTGACACTGAAATAAAGATTTGTTTTCTACTAACGATACCTCTATTTAGAAACATGTCTGTTTTAGAAATAATTTCCTGTGATAAATGTAATCAGCTTGACAGAAAATAGTGTGAATGTTTTAATGCAAGGTTTCTTGCCTATGCTGTGATTTCCTATAAATAGGAATACTGTGATAGTGAAATTGCAAAGAAATGGTCGTATGTGAATTATTGAAGCTTTTTTTTTTAATTAAGGCTTTTCATCCACAGTATTGCTGTTATTAAGTATGTTTCACCAAGAGTTGGCAGATACTTTGGGGGAAAAATATAGGATACAGGATTAGAGTTTGGTTTGCCTAGAGCGATACTGGCATTAGCAAGGTTGGTAAAATAGTTTAAAGAGCAGGACTGGCATCTGTATTTTAAAATGTTCTGTCATTGTGGAATTTGAATTGAGGAGTTCCTCGAATAGTGTTTTTGGGGAACCAGAATTGGAGGTTCAAGACTATTCCAATTACTGGTGAATGATTTTGAGTATGAGGTTCTCTTACTCATCCCTAACACAGGTTTAGAATCAGAGTTGGAAAGACCACATTAAGAGTTTACTCTGGGCTTTTGTGGCAGGTGCAGATTTAGGTCAGCTTTTGAATCTTTCAAAGTATTTGGAAAGTTTAGGATATACTCAAATAAGTTTATTGGAATTAATAATGATAAATTACATTTTGCGGGGACTCTGTAAAATGCTTTCAAATGTCTTGTTGGACAGTAAAACTCCAAGGGAAGTAGTAACATGATCCCTATTATTTATTTATTTAAATATTTATTTATTTATTATTTTTGGCTGTGTCGGGTCTTCATTTCTGTGCGAGGGCTTTCTCTATTTGCGGCAAGCGGGGGCCACTCTTCATCATGGTGCGCGGGCCTCTCACTGTCGCGGCCTCTCTTGTTGTAGAGCACAGGCTCCAGACGCACAGGCTCAGTAGTTGTGGCTCACGGGCCTAGTTGCTCCGTGGCATGTGGGATCTTCCCAGACCAGTGCTCGAACCCGTGTCGCCTGCATTGGCAGGCAGATTCTCAACCACTGCACCACCAGGGAAGCCCCTCCCTATTATTTAGATAGAACAGGCTCGGACGTTTAAGTGCCTTTCCCACTGTTAGGAAGGCATTGATAGAATGGAACTTGAATCCAGGCTTTCTGATCCCAACCTTAATCACTGTTACCCCTCATCTTATAGTTGTTTTTTTTTTTTAAATTAATTTATTTAATTTATTTATTTTTGGCTGCGTTGGGTCTTTGTTGCTGCGTGCGGGCTTTCTCTCGTTGTGGCAAGCGGGGGCTACTCTTTGCTGTGGTACGCGGCCTTCTCGTTGCGGTGGCTTCTCTTGTTGTGGAGCACGGGCTCTAGGTGCGGGCCTTAGTAGTTGCAGCATGTGGGCTCAGTGGTTGTGGCGCACGGGCGTAGTTGCTCCACAGCATGTGGGATCTTCCAGGGCCAGGGCTCGAACCCGTGTCCCCTGCATCGGCAGGCGGACTTTCAACCACTGCACCACCAGGGAAGTCCCTCCCCTCATGTTATAGTTGACAATAGATGGGAAGTGTTAGTCTTTGGCAGTCAGGAATAAATATGAGGGTTCTGGTTCAGTGTTAGGAGAGCATGAATTAAACCTGGTTAAGAAGGTGAGATCTAGTGTCTGTTTAGCTGACTGAAAACATTTTGTGGTGGGGGTAGATCTAGTGTCTGGATTATTTGAGGGCCAGTTAGGGGAATTTGAAAGGCAAATTTTAATGACTACTTAAGTATTTATGATGAAAGTGATAAAAGATATAGAATGAAAGTCCAGTGAGGCATGTGTGGTAAAGACATATAAATTACAGCAGGTGACAGGTTTATTGATTAAGCATTGACTTGTTTCATTGCTTTTGAGTTTTATTTTAATGAAATATTTGGTTTAGCAGGGGACTGCAGAGTTACTCTGAAGAAGCTCATAGTGGATTTGGATTAATCACATTCTAGAATTTGATTATTAGCATATTATTTTGTGTTTCTATTATTATGACGATCTGCTTTTTCTTTTTTAAGGCCACCTGAGTTCCTCTTCAATTTATCCAGTGTGCCTGGCACCTTATTTAGTGGTTACAACTTGTTCTGACAATAAAGTACGCTTCTGGAAATGTAGTATGGAAACCAATCTACAATGTAAAAGTGATGAGAAGGAAACCTATCATTGGAGGAGATGGCCCTTGATGAATGATGAAGGAGAAGATAACAGCAGTACAGTGAGCATTGTGGGAAGACCAGTTGCTGTTAGCTGTTCATACACGGGTCGCCTTGCAGTGGCTTACAAACAACCTATCCACCACAATGGTTTTGTTTCTAAAGAATTTTCCATGCATGTTTGCATATTTGAATGTGAATCTACAGGAGGGTCAGAATGGGTTTTAGAACAAACAATTCATCTTGATGATTTGGTCAAAGTTGGGAGTGTACTTGATTCAAGGGTCAGTGTCGACAGTAATCTCTTTGTGTACAGCAAATCAGATGCACTTTTGAGCAAGGATAGATATCTTATTCCCAATATCAAACATTTAGTACATTTGGACTGGGTATCAAAAGAAGATGGCTCCCACATTCTCACAGTAGGGGTCGGTGCTAATATCTTCATGTATGGGCGGCTTTCAGGAATTGTGACTGAGCAAATCAATAGTAAGGATGGAGTAGCTGTCATTACTTTACCACTAGGTGGAAGTATCAAGCAAGGAGTTAGGTCAAGATGGGTTCTTCTTAGATCTATAGACTTAGTGTCTTCTGTTGATGGTACACCTTCACTGCCTGTTTCTCTCTCTTGGGTAAGAGATGGGATATTGGTGGTAGGAATGGATTGTGAAATGCATGTATATGCACAGTGGAAGCATGCTGTCAAATTTGGAGACGTTGACGCTGATGGTCCTGATGCAGAAGAGACAGCAGTACAAGATCATTTTGCCTTTAAATCTAATATGTTGTCAAGAAAAAGTATTGTTGAGGGAGCAGCCATTGCTGATGATATTTTTTGTTCACCAACTGTAGCTCAAGATGGTGGCTTATTTGAGGCTGCACATGTACTTTCCCCTACTCTCCCGCAGTATCATCCAACCCAGCTGTTAGAATTGATGGACTTAGGGAAAGTTCGCAGGGCTAAAGCTATTCTCTCTCATTTAGTAAAATGCATTGCAGGAGAAGTTGCAATAGTTAGAGATGCTGATGCTGGAGAAGGAACTAAGCGACATCTTTCTCGAACCATTAGTGTAAGTGGCAGTACAGCAAAGGATACAGTCACCATAGGGAAAGATGGTACTCGAGATTATACTGAGATAGATTCTATTCCCCCACTACCGTTATATGCATTGCTTGCTGCCGATCAAGATACAACCTACAGAATTTCAGAAGAAAGTACAAAAATACCACAGAGCTATGAAGATCATATGGAAAGTCAACCAGAGGATCAATATTCAGAGCTGTTCCAAATCCAGGATATAACAACAGATGATATTGACTTAGAGCCAGAAAAAAGAGAAAACAAATCAAAAGTAATAAATCTTTCTCAATACGGACCAGCTTACTTTGGCCAAGAACATGCTAGGGTACTTTCAAGTCATCTTATGCACTCAAGTCTACCAGGCCTTACCCGTTTGGAGCAGATGTTCCTTGTAGCTTTGGCTGATACAGTGGCTACCACCAGTACTGAGCTTGATGAAAACAGAGATAAGAGTTACTCAGGTAAATACTCTAACTAAAAATTTATAAAGTTATCATTAATAGAACTGTTTGTATTTATCTATATAATGACTCACATATTAAATTGCAGTCTTTCTTTAAACCTTGCAGGGAGATGACCTCTCTAGTTGATAGTTACTATTAATGATTAGTTGTAAAAGGAAAGGTGATTGGGGTAGGCTCTGACTTGTGCATGGGACTTTACGTATTTGTGATATCTGTGTGCATCCTCACATGAATTTTTACCCTGAAACCTTCATATCATTTTGGACATATAGTCTTTTGTTTTTTTTGAACAGATTGATTCCTATGGTTTATTTTAATTTTAGTGATAATAATGGCCCATTTGTTAATTTTACTATTGAACCACCAGGTTGTAAGGACCCCCTGGGCTCAACTTGTTCATCTTCACATTTCTAGGTATAAATAATTTTTATAATTACCTAATTTTCTCCAAAAAGTCTCTTGAGAAAGGGGTTTTCATACATTTTAATGTAACATGTGTCTTGCTTAATTCATTCTGTAACTGGAAAAATTTTGGCTGCCTCCTGAAACTAGATTTCATTCTTTTTTATGCAGATAGTTGAAGGTAATGGTGTTGATTCTAAATGATGACATTAGCAAAGGAAACCGAAAATGATTGATCATTCATTCATTCAGTAAATATTGTGGAGGAGTGAACAATTGCTATGTGCCAGGTGCTTCATGTACTTTATTGTATTTAATTATTACAACAGTCTTCTAGTAGGTAGCCACTATTATACTTAATTTTATAGACGAAGACTCTGATCCTTAGGGAGATTAAGTGACACATAAGGTCACGTAGGTAGTAAATGGCAGAACTGGGGTTCAGATGTGGGTAAATCGTTGCCTCCAAGCCTATACTCTTTTAATTATTTCACGAGATTTCCAAGTGTGAGGGAAAAAGACTGTTCCTCAAAGCTACCTGGAATATATCTCTTCGTATAGGTTTATGTCTTTATAATATATCTCCAAGGTTTTCTGTAGATTAAAATAACTAGTGACCTCTAGAGGATTTTGCCTATGAGTTATTTTCTAACCATATTAATTAAAAAAAATTTGAATCATTATGAGGTTGTGTGCAGTTGAGCAAGATTCTCCCCAGAACAGCCTTAAGCCTTTGTTGCAAACTTAATATATGTTAAGAGTTTTTACTTGAGACATTCAGAAAATAGATACATCATAATCCATGAAACATAGTTTAAATTTTCGGATACAGAACTGTATCCTTAGTTAGGCAATATAAAAATGGTTCCTCCTGGTCACAGTGGGTTTTCATTAGGTAGATAAGGCAGGAATGAATGTCTCCATTTCACAGGTAGCAAACCGAAGCTCAGAGATTAAATAGTTGCCATCTCAGTGAATGGATTCTAAGTAAATGAATCCTTCCATTTGTTCAAGTAAGACAATTTAGAGGTATTCCTGACTCTTGCTTTCTCTCCCGCCCTAATCCAGTCCATTGGCGAATGCTATTAGTTCTACTGTATGGAGACTCCAGTCATTTCTCATCACCTCTCCTGTTACCACTCTGGTCCAAGTCACGTCACATCCTGCCTAATTATTGACAAAGTCTCCTACTAAACTGTTTCGTTCTTGTTACCCCAGTCTGCTCTTCGCATAGGAACTAGTGATTATTTTAAAACAAAATCACATTAAATCTCTTCTCTGCTCAACAAACACTGTGGCTTCCCATCTCACTTTAGAACAAAAAGCCAAATGCTTCAGTGATCTACAAGGCTCTTTGTGATCTGTGCTCACTTTCATTCTACTGCATTGTCTTCCTTGCTGTCCCACAAACACACTAGGCCCATTCCTGTCTCAGAGTCTTTGCGCATATTGTTTCCTCTGCATAGAATACTTGTCTTCCAGATTTAGGTGTGCCTCATTCCCTTACCTCCTCAGATTTCTGCTGAAATGTCATCTTATTGGAATGTTCTTCCCTGGCCTCATATCAAATAGAACCCTCTTACCCCAGCACTCCCTTTCTCTCAGTCCTGCTTTATTTCTCTCAATAGCATTAATTTCCACTAGACACATTACCTCTTCATTGTTTGTCTCTGTCTCCTAAGGTGTAAGCACCCTGAGAGTGGGGACTTTGCCTTATCCCTGCCAAACCCCCAGTACCTTAACTGTGCCTCCAATGTAGCGGATGCTTACTTTGTGAATGAATACATGAGTGAGTGGATGAACAAATATAGCTGATGGGAAGTAGAGGTGGAACTTTGACAATTTAAAACGTTTTATTTTCTTCAAGAAAATATTTGATTCAATACTCTTGAGTACTTCCTAAGTGGCAGTTACCAGGCTAGGCACTGTTAGTATTTTTCTGTTTCTTTTATCCAACAGTGGCTATAATTTTGAGTAAACTTGCCATGCTTTGATACCTCTGCTCAACTTTTGACTAAGAGTAAATTTGTGGAATCAAGGTTGGAGTTCAGCCTTAACTTGGTAACAGTAGCCTGGGGAGTCAAATTTGAAATCTTTGAATAATGAATCTTCTGTATTTCATTGGAGCTAACCAACCTAGAAAATATTACCTATTTAATCATATAATAAATAATTTTACTTTATTATGTAATTCCTGTTTTTAAATCTCATCTGAATTTGCACAGGAAATATTTAAAAAAATTATACCTAACTTACTATAGCTAATATATTTTTTATTGGATTTCAAGATTTCTTTCCTTTTCATTTATTATGAGTAGCTCTAAGTACTATTATTACCTGTACTAATAGGTACTTATATTTTTCCCAATTATTTTTCATTTGGCAGTTTTAATATATACATATGCTTTTTGTAAAGCTGTATAAATAAAGATACTGAAGTGTTCAGAAAGGAATACACTCAAAAATATATATTTTTTTTGTGTAAATTATTAAATTTAATGTTTATTTTCTAACTTTTTACTGGTTTGTGATTTGTTGCATTCCTTTTTCCTTAAACATATTTCCTCTTTGCAGGAAGAGACACATTAGATGAGTGTGGTTTGCGGTACTTACTAGCTATGCGCTTGCACACTTGCCTTTTGACATCGCTGCCTCCTTTATACCGAGTACAGCTGCTTCATCAAGGTATTGTTTGAACCTTCGTGCAACTTTTATTTTGTACTGAAGTGGTTAGTATATTCATATTTGTGTCTGAGCATTAGTAAATCAACATATGCATACCTATCACCAGCCTTAAGATCTTCCTGTCACAGGAAAATAAGGTACCCACTTACCTTTTTTCTATGTTATTTTTCAGCTGTATTCTGTGACTTTTGCTCATCTGTCTCAGTTTCTCAGACTTCAGTCACTAAAGTCATAGTAGTTTAAGTAAACTGGTATGCCTGAGGTTGTAACCTAAAGTGGCCCTGAATTTCTATGACGCCTGATACCTTTTCTTTAAAAATTATGTAAATTTTGTCCTATGCATTATTATTTGTGTTTATTTTAATATAAGCATTATGTTTTAAGTTATTTACTTACAAGTAAAGCTGATGTTTCATGAATATCTGCCGTACAGTAATCCAGTAGGTTTGTATACTTCTAGCACACTGCCACATACCCTGATTTGCGATGTATAGGTTTATATCAGCCCCCTAACGTAATAGATTAAAAAATCAAAACTATAGAGTTTAAAGTGACCTGCCAAGATACAGGGCTATTTGTTAATAGAGAATTCCAGTGCAGTGGGCTGTGTTCCTTTTGAAACCAGCATCCTGGATACAGCCCCATAAAATATGCTTTAGTATTGTAGGACCTGGAATACCAGGCTTTATAGCTTGTTACTCTTACCCACAGTACTTACCCTTTACCCTCAGTAAATGTTCTTTGAAAATATGATTACAAACATATGTCATATTCTGTCGTGTTTTTAAACTATAATTCATCTATATAGTCTTTTATTTTTTTCTAAAAATGCAAATTTAGCTGTTTTTTTCTATTTGAATTATCACTGTTAATGAGTGACCTTATAACCTTGCATATAAATATTTATGTATATATCTGATTACTTCCTCATGTTTGTTTTCTAGTAGTGAAATTACTGAATCAAAGGGCTTGAAAATTCTTTTTTTTTAAACATCTTTATTGGAGTATTGTTGCTTTACAATGGTGTGTTACTTTCTGCTTTATAACAAAGTGAATCAGATACGTATACATATGTTCCCATATCTCTTCCCTCTTGCGTCTCCCTCCCTCCCACCTTCCCTATCCCACCCCTCTAGGTGGTCACAAACCACCTAGCTGATCTCCTATGCTATGCGGCTGCTTCCCACTAGCTATCTATTTTATGTTTGGTAGTGTATATATGTCCATGACACTCTCTCACTTTGTCACAGCTTACCCTTCCCCCTCCCCATATCCTCAAGTCCATTCTCTAGTAGGTCTGTGTCTTTATTCCCATCTTGCCCCTAGGTTCTTCATGACATTTTTTTCCCCTTAGATTCCATATATATCTGTTAGCATACGGTATTTGTCTTTCTCTTTCTGACTTACTTCACTCTGTATGACAGACTCTAGGTCCATCCACCTCACTACAAATAACTCAATTTCGTTTCTTTTTATGACTGAGTAATATTCCATTGTATATATGTGCCACATCTTCTTTATCCATTCATCCGATGATGGACACTTAGGTTGCTTCCATCTCCTGGCTATTGTAAATAGAGCTGCAGTGAACATTTTGGTACATGACTCTTATTGAATTATGGTTTTCTCAGGG